CCCCCCACAAAAGGAGAGCGAGAGAAGGAGGGAAGGAAGAGAAAGCATAGAGGCATCTCAGTACTCTACGTAGCCACTGGATCTCAGAATAACTGCTAGTAACCCACGGGGTTAAAACAGGAAACGCAGCTTGGTGCTTATGTGTGTACGTCTTGGAGCCAGACTGGGCTCGGATCCCGACTGATCACACGATGCGGATCCTCATCCTTATCTCCGCAGGTTGTTGTGAAGGTCAGGTAGGCTCAGGGCCGTGGCCCGCACGAAGCAGGTGCTCGCAGAGTCTGACCGTGACCTCTACTGCCTCAGCGGTCTTCAGGTGCGGACTCTTGTCAGGGCGCCTCTGTCCATCCCTGCGAGAGGGTTCCGTGCTCCCTCCTCTCCAGGGCGGATGGCCACCTGCATGCGGGCTCCCTGTGGGACCCCGCCCCTTCCCTTCGGACCCCCAGGATCAGCCCCGCTGCTTTCTGGCTGGGACGGCCCCGCCCGCGTCAGAACACCCAGGATACTTGCCGAAATGCGCGTTTATGCTCACAGCTGTGTATCTCTTGACCCGGCCTCTCAGGTCGTTATCACAGGTGCTAACATTTGGCCACCACCCAGAAGCCCTTGAAAACCACTAGCTTTGACTCGGCACTTCCTGAGCTTCCCAAGTATTTGTTGGGCTCCGACTGTGCGCACGGGACTGGGCGAGGAACCAGAGAATGGAAGCAGGGCAGAGGTCCGCTCCCCAGGGTGGCTGTCGCCGAGGTGTCTCCTCACTCTGCGCTCCTGGCTCCCTCCGAGGTCCCAGGGGGCACCTCCTTCCTCCTCCCCTTCCTCTGCTTGCTGTCGGAAGCCCCAGCCCCCACGTCCCGGAGGCCGCCAACGGCTGCACCCTTTGCCCCAAATGCCCTCCACTTCTCTGGATCCAGAAGTCGCTGTCGCAGCAGCACTTAATGAAAGACTGCAGCCTCTTTCAGTCTACGTGAGCACCCTTGCTTAAAGCTGGTGTTTCCTCTTTGAGATAGCGTGTTATTTCGAGAGAAGAACCTTCCCCCCCCAAAGGGGGAAATCCCAGTGGCCTTTGAATACGAATTTGCTCCGTGTTTTTACTTGTCACGACTGAAAATGTTCAGTCCAGCTGGGGGAAGAAGCCCTGCTCAGCTAAAACCATCTCGGGGAAAATGTGCTTCTGACTCCCTGTGAAATTGCACCGGGTTCTGGTCTTTAAAACCAAGGGTAATGTGATCACAGTGAAAGCCAGCCTGTCTCAGCACCCCGGGATCTCGACCCTCATCCCCCTTCAACTTTTCCTAATTGTCCACCCGTCCCAGTAACGTAACAAAGGTGGAAGCAGAGTAAGAATTGTTTGGGAGAAAAATTCCCAGATGGCAGATGCGTGTTCGGCCTCTCGATCCGCAGCCCCACCTCGTCCTCCACATAACGGTCGCCCTTCCTCACCAGGAGCGTCTACTGAAAGGAAGGCCCGTTCCTTGTGTCTTCACAGGATATCCAAGTACACACCATCCATGGCGGCCGCTGACGTGGACAAGGCAGTGGAGATGGCCTTGCAGGCCTGGGGCAGCGCTGTCCCCCTCACCTTCGTCAGGGTGACTTCGGGAGAAGCGGACATCATGATATCTTTCGAAAGCGGAGGTACCGTGGGGGTCCCCGGGCTCTGCCTGCGAAGCCAGCTGTTTGCTCCTACAACCCTCAGTGCAAGGGTGGGCACCGTCCTCTCTTGCACAGGGTGAGACGGGCGGAGGCCGAGGTCATGGCAGAGTGATGACGGCCACCAGGCAGAGACTAGAACCAGGGGGTCCCGGCGAGGGCCCGTCATCCTGGCCCGGACCGTTCGGCAGACTCGGCCCAACCGGCTTCCGCTGTGCTGTGGCCGCATCAGAGACAAAGTCTGTCCCATCTGGCTTCCCTGTTGGCCTGGGGGGGGCCACCTGACCTCACCCCACCCCCTGACGGTGTCTGCTACACAGCAGGAACTTGCACCTTGAATCCTCACTGAAGGGCACGCACGCCCCGTGACCCTGACCGCTTCTTCCCTGCAGCAATGGCCGGGCGTGGTGGGGGAGGGGGTTTGCTGCTGTCCCGTCCACACGTTGTGGGGTCCCCAGGCCTCCACCCTGCTCACCCCAGTAAGGAGTGGACGCACAACCTTGCACGGGGAGCCCTGTCCAGAGCCGCGTGTCTAGTGGGCAGATTAAGGAAAGGCCGCGAAATTCCTTCCCTTCGTTGGCTTCCAAGCAGCAGAGGGGACCAAGTGTCCTGCCCTTTCTAAGGGCCCCTGAGTCTTCAAGTCTCCATCTGAAGTTTAACCTGCTGTCCTGGGGTGGGCGCGCCCAGAAGCCAGGAGAGAGGAGGTCAGCAGGCCCCGGTGTGAGCCCTCCGAGGTGGCCCTGGGTGTGGCCGGGTGCGTGGTGGCTCCCATTCCTCCTGGACAGCAGGGCCACCGTGGCCACGTGGCTCAGGCCGGCTTTGGAGACCGCTTCTCTCTTGATCGTGCAAGCCTGCGCTCTTTCCCGTGAAACACAGGCTGGGTGGGGGCCGTGCTGCCATGTAACAGGGACCTCGGGGCTCACAGTCTGAGGTCCCCGCACTGTGCTGAACCCCTCGAACGGCACACCAGAGCTTTGTTCTGTTGGATTTTAACAAAACAAAGTATTCCCGCTAAAATCCTCAAAACCCACGAACGTAGCTTTACAACATTGCCTCGTTTTGTTCCTCCTCCTTTTTAAATTAAAAACCGTCAATGAGGGGCGCCTGGGCACCTCAGTTGGTTATGTATCTGACTTCGTCTCAAGTCATGATGTCACGGCTTGTGAGTTTGAGCCCCACATCAGGCTCTGTGCTGACAGTTCAGAGCATGGAGCCTGCTTTGGATTCTCTGTCTCCCTCTCTCTCTGCCCCTCCCCTGCTCATGCTCTGTCTCTCTCTAAATAAATAAATAAACTTTAAAAATCTGTAAAAACAGTATTGTCCGTTCCCTGTAACGTGAAATATGCTTCGAAAATCGTCCGCAGGACTAACTTCTGTTGACCTCTCTCCCCAACTGTCTAGACCACGGGGACTCCTATCCGTTTGATGGGCCTCGAGGGACCCTAGCCCATGCATTTGCACCTGGAGAAGGTCTGGGAGGGGACACGCATTTCGACAATGCCGAGAAGTGGACTATGGGAATGAATGGTATATATGCACAATTGACCATAACCTGGAAACTATTGTACCTTCTTCTGGGCCTCCACCATGAAACCTTGAGGTCAACGTCCCAAGCCACCCTTAAAGTAGGGGGGCTGGCTAGGAAAAACAAGTAAGCCAAAAATCCACAAGGGAACACCATAAGGGGAACGCCCCACCCCCAAGTGTGCCGTAGACTCTCCCGAGCCCCGCTCAAAGCGAGGGGTGTCGAGGAACCTCAACCCTCCCTCCACAGCACTCTTTGCACCACACTTACGGTCTCTCACTGGTGCTGGCAAGCAGGCTGTGCTCAGAAAGGACCTGAGGGTCGTACTCTCCTAACAAGTGTGCTGGGGATGGGTGGAAAGGTTCCAGAATGTGATGCCTGTCATTGGAAGTCTTCCTCGGGAAGTGTGTGTGGATGACAAGGGGTGGAGGCTGTCACAGCAGGGAACTTACCCCGAAGTTGTGGCCAAATCTAGATCTCATTGCCGCCATGAGCTCTAACTGGGCCCTTCTCCACCCATCGACTGAGTGTCGCTGACAAGGAGCCAAATGGACCGAATCCCATTTCCATCCTTTCTCAGTCCGAAGCCCCGTCCAGCCGAGGGGGAAACATAGGTAACGTCAGCAAAGCTCAGCACCAGAATAACCTGGTTATGAAAGGCAAATGAGTTTCCTACTAGGATTGGGGTATAAATTCTCCTGTAAAGACAGAAGGCCCTAACAATAAATCCCCACATTGACGCTGTATTTTTCTGTCTCGCACCGTGTAGGTTTCAACTTATTCACCGTAGCTGCTCACGAATTTGGCCACGCACTGGGCCTGGCGCATTCCACAGACCCATCGGCACTGATGTACCCGACCTATAAGTACCAGCATCCCTACGGATTCCACCTGCCCAAGGACGATGTGAAAGGGATCCAGGCCCTGTATGGTACAGTCACCACACTTCTCTGACTACTAACCCTGAGAGTCACAGGCTTTCAGTCTCCAACTTAGGGAAAGTGTATTTTGCCAGGAGTTACCTGCAGGGGTAAAGATCAAGCGGGGGACCACAGCCCCCACTGTGGCCTTTTATGAGGAGCTTATCTACCAGATAAGAACATGGCTTTCTTTTCTAAGATGTGCAATTAAATTCCACATCTTTCCTCCAGGGCACTTGGTCCCTCAACAGCCATAGAAAATATAATCAATTGTCTTTTGGCGGGGAAGAGGAGAATTTAGATATTACGGTATGCTTCATATATGGAAGTCCAGGTTTTGATCCGATCCAAAATGAGACCTAGTGAGGTCCAACCATCCCAAACTGGCTCAGGTATTGGCTCAACTGGAGATATGGATATTCAATCAGCAACCGAGATGGTATCAGCATATTTTGTAAGTACCTGTAGCAGCTGGTTCTGACCCATCTGCAGATAATTGATCTGATCTTCCTAAAAATGTCAGGGAGGATGATCACTGCATTCCTAGTGGTGTAGATAACCCACAGGCTCACGTCGTTCATCCTATCACCCCATCCTCATGACCAGCCTGCTTAGAATGTTAAGTGTTTTCCTCACTGGACAGCTGAGAAAGTGGAGGCTCAAGACAGTAGGTACCCCGAGATAATCAAAATTATCCCATGGCTTACCATTCTTTCAAAGGTAATAAGGAATTATTAAAAACTCTAGACCTAGTCTTCCTTAAGAGAAAGATCCACAAAGCTCTGAGAAGGAATCTTGGAAGTCTTAGACCTTGACACTTTTGCTTTCATGTTTTATCCCAGAAAACTCTGGGCCACTGACTGTCCCCTAAACCCGGAGGGTGGTTACTCCGCCGTAAATTGCCAAAGCCTGTCTGCATCCTCCCAGCCTAGAAAAGGGCCCGGAGAGCCCAGATCCCTCTTGCTAGGAGTTGGCGAAGCCACCCGGCAGTTCAGACAGGAGCACACTCTTTCGCAGTCAGATGGCATCTGACTCTTGGGAGACCGATCTTCTCCAAAGAAGTGCTCAGTCAGCTCTGCCCACTGCTCCTCCTGGGAGAGATAGGAACTAATAGCGTGAACGTCTCCACTGTACAAACTTGGCTGCAGAGCACCGAGTGCAGGGCTCCAATGTGAAGCGACTCCCCTGGGCCACTGAGCCCAACGATTTGCCTGCCCTCTACAGATCCTTCCACACTGGAAGGTCACCACCATTCTGATGGCCGTGGTCCCTGGGCCAGGGGCTGAGGCATGTATTTGGACATGGCCAGTCTTGCACAGGTGAACAAAATATAAAAGCATCGTTTTATATCTCTTGGCGCATACACATCACCCGGCCCTGACTACTGTCACCTCCCACCCCTCCCAGGGTGCTTGGCTCACAGTACCTGTTCACTAGCACATTTCTGACCTGACCACCTTCCAGTTTCCAATAGTTTCCCAAAGCCTCACCCAGCCCCGATCGTCACCCCATCGCTGACCCTACACCCTAGATCTTACCCATCTCTTCCTCTCATGGGTCCTCTGTCTCTGACCCTCACCTCTGTTGACCACGGGGCTCGATCAGGAGCAGGCACCTGCCAGGGCCAGTGAGCGGCCCAGGCAGCCCTGCCCATTTCCTGTAGACGGCAGACAGCCCTCAGGAGCACAGAGGGGGAGTGAAAACTCACCAGCAGGCCTCCCAAGGAGCAGGACCCACCCGAAGGTGCCTTTAAGTGGTGCCCACCTCAGTGTAGTGTGTTGGCACTGGAATTCGGTCTTTCCTGGGTGCCTGACAAAGGCTTATGCACAGCAAGATGCCCAGAAGCAGATGTGCACGACCTGAAAACACACAAGAAAATGACCATGTCTCTTAGAACAAAGAATTTAATTACAAAGAAATAATCAGGGGCGCTTGGGGGGCTCAGTCAGTTAAGAATTCAACCCTTGATTTCGGCTCAGGTCATGATCTCGCGGTCCGTGAGTTCGAGTCCCGCGTCGGGCTCTGTGCTGAGAGCTCAGAACCTGGAGCCTGTTTCAGATTCTGTGTCTCCCTCTCTGTGACCCTCCCCCGTTCATGCTCTGTCTCTCTCTGTCTCAAAAATAAATAAACATTAAAAAAAATAAAAAATAAAAAATAAAAAAAGAAATTAAAAAAAAAAAAGAAATAATCAGTGGCAACTTTTAAAAGACACCTCTAATCTGGGACTCCTGCAGCTGCGATCCCTCTAACACTCACTATGCGCCAACGTGTCAGGTGCTTTACAGATATTCCTTCTCACAAAACCCTCTGCTCCCTCCCGTTTCACTAACGAAAGAACAGAGGCGTGGAGGGGTTAAGTGATAGGCACGATTTTCACACAACTCAGCAACTAGCACAGCCGGGATTCAAACCCCGGTCTGCCCGCCACAGGCAGCCACGCACCTCCTCACCTCGTCCTGTACCGACAAAGAGCGTCTCTGGAGTGTGAGTGCACAAACTCTAGATTCCTGGTACTGTGCTGACCAAGTCACTTTGAATCCTAGGACCCCGGAAAACATTCCCGGGAAAGCCCACCGTGCCGCACGCCCCACCTCAAAGTCCATCCACCCCCGACCTCTGTGACTCCAGCTCGTCCTTTGATGCCGTGACGATGCTTGGGAAGGAGCTCCTGTTCTTCAGGGACCGGTAAGCCCCAGACGTGCCACCAAGTCCTCCCAGGCCTCAGCTCCACGCGTCAGTCACTCTAGAAGTGCTCGTTGCCACCACGAGGGAGGACCGTGCAGAGATGCCGTCCTGTGTGGCGGGACGGTGGGAGGCGGGGGTCTCGGGGGAGACCTGAGAGCTGCCAAAGCACCATTTGTGCAGCACCCACCATGCTCTTGGTGCTGGGCGCAGAGTTTTCCGTATACGTAAGGTACTTCTGACCCTCTTCGTGGCCAAGTAGAGATTAGAAGCCCCAATTTACAGATGAAGAAAGAAACTCAAAGAGAACGAGGCACTTTTCTGAGCTAGCAGTGTCACTAAGTGTCTGAATTAGAGCACTAGGCCCAGATTGCTCTGATGTCTCTTCTGTCTATCATGTATCCCTAGTGAGAGCGCATAGGATATGCTCAAAAAATATTCGGTAATGGGGGTGGATAGATAGCCAGGTGGACAGACAAGTGGATGGACAGACAGGTGGGTGGGTGGGTGGGTGGAAGGATGATCAGAGGGATGGGTAGACGGGTGGGAAAACTGCAAAGACGGCCCTCTTGTGAAAACCCGCTTTCTCGGTGCCCCTTGACTTTTCCACTGTCAGCTAGAGGTCAGACAGTGTAGAGAAGGCAGGAATATTGATGGATTTTAGCTATACCACAGCTGACGCTCCTGAAGAACACCCTGAGGTTTGAGTTTCTAGTACTGTTGCCTTAGGACTGTTTCGTTTGGACTTATTAGTAGAAGCGTTTGCAGTTCTGTGAGTTGTAAAGGATGGTGAGGCCGAGCTGGTATTTAAATGCGATGGCGTAGGAGTAATTTATGATATAATTTGTGATGCTGGAGAAGCTGGGATTGTTAGTGTGGACGCTGTAGGGATCGCTGCCTTTACAGCTGTGGGAGGTGATAGTGGGGGTTCTGGTTGGTCTTTATTTATTAGTGTTTTTATTGGCATGGACATCACTCAGGAAAATTAAATAGAGTAAATTTAAGATTTGTATAATAAGGAAAGAGGAAATAAAATTTGAAAACAATGATACTCAAAAATTCAAAGCCATTGGGTTTGAAACTCATGTGGAAGTTTTACTAGAAGACAGGAAATGGTTGGTGGTAATATTTTTTCTACTTAAAGTACATCTAATAATATCGTTGTGAGTTTTCTGTTGGTTGAAAGAGTGATGAATGGTGAGAGGCAGTGGTTATCCTCGGAAAAAAACGCAAGGAAGTTGGCAAACGTATGCAGGGTGAAGGAGAATTAAGTTTCCCATTTTGTGTTACAAGGTCATATTCAAGTGCCAGAATGAAAGCTGGGGCGGTTCTGCCAAGGACTGTCCATTCCAGTAGGCGTTGGTGGCATTCACATAGGAGATGACAATTCTGGTCACCGGTTCTGATGCGGGGGGTTTTCCCCACCACCCAGCAATTCTCTGACACCAGCTGTGTGTCCTACAATTCAACTCCATTCTGACACCATCTACCTGGAAATAACATCGGATGAGTCCACAGGTTGAGGGCTCTGTCCACTTCAGATGCCACTTCTGCCCCACCGGCTGTGAATCACGGGTTCCTGTGACCCTCCTTGGGTGTGGCTGCCTTACTAGAGCAGCTTTACTCTACTAGACTAAGTTTATTATAAAAGGATAGAACTCAGGAACGGCCGGAGGGAGAGGTGCCGAGACCAGTGTATGGGGAAAGAGTGCAGACCTTCCCTGCCCTCCCTGGATGCACCACTCTCCCCACAGCTGCACATCTACATGTTCACCAGCCCAGAAAATCTCCAAAACCCCCTCCTTTGGGGGTTTTATGGAGGCTTTAATCACAGAGGCATGACTGATTAAATCGCGAGCCATTGGCCACGGATCCAAGGCCCATCCCTCCCCCCCACCCCAAGATGGGGGTGAGGTGGGTGTTGGGATTGAAAGCTCTAATCCTCTAATTGCCTGACCATTCCCTCAGGCAACTAGCCCCCATCCAGAGGTGAGGTCCAAAAGTCATCTCGTTAACATAACAAAAGACACCTTCATTGCTCTCCTCACCGGAAATTCCAAAGCAGCTCCGGAAATTCCAAAGCAGCTCCGTGCCAGGAACCAGGAGGGAGACCAAATATATACATGCTATTATAAATCACAATATCACGGATGGATTAGTGGGTTTGATCATTCTTCTGTGGCCGAGAAGTCTGTAAGGAAAGGCATACCTGTGGGGTTAGACTTCAAATAATAAGGAGGTTGTAGAAAGGGGCCAAGCTTCAAGCCACCTACTTTTTGGACATCCTTGTTCGTTGTTTAACTGATCAATAATAGACCCACAGCATAGAAATAACATGCAGTTGAAAAATGCATGTGTGCAGATGTGAAGGAACATCTGTGAAGACTGTGTCTGATGGTTAATATCAATAATGAACACGATTAAGCCTAACCGGCTTGAGGTAAGAAGGCGAAAACCTTTCTAATGTCATTTTGGGTGAAAGCCCAGATTGCCGTAAACAGCGTGGTGATAGCAGCTAGACAGAGTGCTCATGTTTGAATAGCTGTATCATTGTCTGCCGTTGGGTAGAAGCGAATTAATAAAAAGACACCCGTTCGAATGAAGTAAAGCTGAGACCGCGTCAGGTCTTTCGTGACTGAGGGAGGCCAGGGGTGGAGGCCAAATTGGACTCACCAGTTGCAGTCGAACAAAGTGCACTTAGTGGAATCCGATCATGACTAAGGTGAAATATACAAATTTGCTGGAAATTTCCTAATTTTACGTTAGGTGGTCCCTTTTGTCCTGGGGCTCTGGCCTCGCAGGGAGCTGGGGGACTTGTGTCCGTGACGCTGATTACTGTGGTCGCTTCTTTTCTTGGAGGGAAAGAGAGAGCCACCAACTGTCACCCCACTCCCCGCTTTACTGGGGACAGAATCCATTCACACCGGAACAGGCAGAGGTAGCTGAGGAATATGCATGTCTGAGT